ATATTATTATTAAAAAAATGTAAAATAAACTTATCATATAAATTAACTTTTAAAATTAACAAATTTAATATAAAGACAATATAAAGAAAATCCCATGAATTAACCATATAATGCTTAACGTTATGGGTGATGGCGGTGGCGGTATTGTTGATGGAGCCATCTTAATTGTTTCCGATAAAGTTATTCATAAGTTGATCGTAAGTTTGGTAGAAATGGTCGGTAGAAATGTTAGGAAATTGATGTATTGGGATAAATTCAGTCAGACCCGATGTCAAACTAAATTGGTGAATGATATTTTCGCCTAATTTTTTTTCATTGAAAAGTAAAAGGAATAAATTTTCATAATTACTTTTTTTAAAATAAATTAAAAAACAATTTAATAATACCAGGGTTTATAATAATTAATTTATGTCCAAGTAAAAGATAAAAAACCAACTCTGCCAATACTACATTCGAACCATCATGACAACTATGAATATAACAGTAAAATTATTTATAAATGTAGTTATTTAGTGTTCATACATAATGATGATACTATGTTAGATGAATGATTTTTTGTTTGACTGATTATTGCTGGATGCTGAGGAATGCCGACCCAGGTTGTCGATGAATCTGCCTAATGGGAGTATTTGCTTGAGCCTGTAAATAGAATTTTTTGAACATTCGTCACTATGGCTATTCGAATCATTTAAAGTTGGATTTTACTGCAGTGCGGAGCGTCAGTGTTTGACTAGGAAAATATCGAAATAGTGATGAGTAGAGGAGGGTAGATTAGCGTTTGTGAAGTTTTGATGGAAGATTAATGAGTTGATGTGTGTGGAATGCTTACATATAATATATGATATGTAGACCAGTTAGAAATCAATTTGGTGTTTTAGGAATCCAGGTTGCTAGTGTGAATGTATATTTGAATGTTCTTGTGAGAGATGCGTGTGGCATACCCTGTCATTTCCATCGGAGACCCCGCTGACACCAAAACATTATAATAGTAATAGAAAACAAATGCAGCATTAACTTATAAATGTCATTAAAATAAGCGAATTATTGGAAAATGTACAATGAAGAATGTCATATACGCCATTTCGCATCAATTACCACCTTCCAACCTTTTCAATCTTTTAATTCTAACATAATTACTAAAATAGGTTTGGAACCGGTTCGACGCAATTGAGCCAAAACTGGTTAAACCGGTTCAAATTTTTCATATATATATATATAGTAATAAAACCGGTCGGACCGGTTTGATATTGTATTCTTTTCACCGGCAGATTGATATTATGGAAAATTTTTTAAAAATGGTGAATAAAATTTTTATCTCAACTCTCACAAAAACTCTTGCAATTATCCCCAGATTTGGTTGTTTTTAAAAAAATTTTTCGCCAAAAGATCTTTGATTTTTGTTTTAGCAAATAATTTCTGAATGTATGTTTTTGCAGAAAGCTATGCCAATTTAAAAGAACAAATAGTTACTACAAGAATAAAAATTATCTCTCCTTACTCACCATATCAGCTCTTACCCAAGTAACCTATCGGTAAGTTTAGAATATGGTTGGGTTGTGTGTATAAAGTTAATGAATTAGCAACATTTACCACTTTTTTGAATATTGAAAAAGATATAAAGAAGCTCCATTGGTACCTGTCACACTACTAAACCAACAGTGAAGATGACAATGGCCAGATTGACATTTGATACACCAAAAACGATTTAAATT